TTTAAGGTTACAGGACACCCTTGGCGTTTTACGGAAAATCGCTACTGCGCGCTCAATATCAGTCCGATTTTCATCAAATTTTCACCAAATGTTCTCCAGTGCATGCAAAATATGGTAAACTTGTAAAATCAATAAAAAATAAAATAATATAAGAATTATTCAGGAAAATCTTAAATCGCGGTGCCGTTACGCTTTTGAGTTGTGCTCCTGCTGGTTTTAAGTTATATTTATGAAAATATCATTTTTATACAGTAAAATAGTTGTTCTAAAAAATTGTGTTCGGAAATTTTTGTTTATTTCGTCATTCCGCTGATATGACGATTTCTTTGACGACTGCAATACCGGGTGGCCCAAAAAAAAGTACTCCTGTTTGATTCGTAATAACTTCTAAACAAGTAAAGTTTTTAAAGAGAAATAACTTGCATTAAATAGAGGAAGGACTAACTTAGATTTTGATATATTACAGTTGTATTTAACTTATAATTCACGGAGATATTAATGTTAAAAATGTGGAGCATATTTTGGAATGTGTCTAAAATTAGCGAAAATCGGCATATCAAATATTAACTCCAGCGTTTGTTTGCTTAATGACATATTAGGCTAACTTGTATTTCAGCGAATTATCGTTAGGGTTTGTAAGGGATATGGCGTAGATTTAGACATCTTACATGTAAGTCTTAGCTCATTGTTTCCTGAAATATGAACGTTCGAAATTATGCAAGTATTTAATATTAGGTCTTTACAAACTTAAAAGTACATGAAAGACTGACCATGCATGGAAGGCAGGCGCTTAAATTTTTCTTAAATAGCCTAATTTTTTTATGTTTTTAATGGGTTCAAACAGACTGAGTTGATTATTTCTCGGTTAGAGCAGGATGAATATTATTCTTTATTGAAGGAAATAATATTGCTTTTTGCAAATACACATCACCGTATCAACGCTACTATTTTGTTACGTTTTGTTCCAAAAATGTTGGATGTCTCTGGGGAGTTGCTTGTTATGTCTTATGGAGTTGTATGGTTTGATTGTGTTTCATTCTCAGTTTATTCTGAACTTGCCAAGATTAAGAAAAGGCAAAAGAGTTTGGGTGTTCTTAACAAGATTTCAGAACGTTGCAGAAGTTAGAAGAGCTTCACAATTCCATTGTGACAGCATGCCCTAATTCAGAACAACGATCGATCCATGACGATCCTTCGCGATGCAGCTAGTGGTCTCATGAAATAAGGAAACGTATTCGTGCTAGGAACACACGCGAATTTGGACGAATAAATCTGCTTGTATTTTGTAGATATAATAATACTTTCTTTCATAATAAACAATTTGTCAAGTGTCATTTATTTACTGGTAATAGTGCATGTTTCAGTCGGGCAAATCTTGATTAATATTTGATACGCCGTTTTTTGCATATTTTAGACACATCCAGAAATATGCTCCCGATTTTAAAGATTAATATCTCCGTGAATTTTTAAGTGAAATACAACTGTAATATATCAAAATCTAAGTTAGTCCTTCCTCTATTTGATGCAAGTTATTTCTCTTTAAAAGCTTTACTTGTTTAGAAGTTATTACGAATCAAACAGGAGTACTTTTTTTGGGACACCCGGTATAT